GGCTGGCAGCGCAACATAATATATTCCCGATCCGGTGGCTCGGTGTTCTAAAGGTGACTATTAAGTTGTGGTCGGCTAATTTACGATCCCGGCAAATGGACCTCGGGTTTAGCGGGACGCGTCTCTTCGATCGACGGTCCCGCGGACGTCCCGTTTTCTCCGCTAGAGAAAGCCCGCGGGATGCTGCGATCACCGCGGAAAATTGGCAGAGATCGTTCGTCATTGGCAGCCGACAAGATGGCGGTCGATTCTCAGTCGATTTGAGAGTCGATTCTCAGTCGAATCTCTGCGGTCGGACGATTCGAAAATTCTTCGGTCAAACGGTGGCCAGGCTTCGGAGTCCGGCTTTGATTGCTCGCCAGCTAATTGTTATCCAAGGCAAGTGGACGATAAGAATAACAGGGTCAAATTGACGTGTTGCTACAATTAATTTGCTACTAGTCCGATGTAGTATTAGCATTGGTATTCAAGTAGAAACGGCATCGCGGATTGATTTCGCAACGGGAACAACGCGTTGTCAACTAGAAATGCGTAATTGCTTTAAGCACAATTAGGCAGGGGCCAGGATATAGCGATCGTGTTATGCCTATCGGCTAAAGTCGGATCTCGGCCATATTAGACATCCGGTGGCCCGGTCGTCGAGCATAGGCAACGTAGTACCGAAATGGTCAAAATTGATCCCGTCTCGTTGTCAAGTTAAAATCACGGCGGTCGATCCTTTTGAGATGCACATTTCCGGGGCCGTGTAACATTAACTCGCGTTATTCCAACGCAACTCGAGCGACCGTGGACGACGCTTCGTTAGCTGTTTCGTTCGGTAGAATTTTAATTACGGAACCGTACGGTCATCGGAAGCATCTATTTTTGAACAAAAGCATCCGCCAAACGGACTATAGAACAGTATTAAACAGTCCCGTGTTACATATCCGCCTCGGCCCTCGATAATCCAGCGTCCCAAGGAATATTCTCACTCGGCTACGTAATTAACTGTTCGATAATAGGTTGACATAACCCGGTGCACAGGCTCTATTATGAAATTCCTGATGTTCCCGAGCAGTCGTTGCAAAGCATCTGCTTCGCTTTCGATTCCGCAATCAATCCTGCGTTACTAAATCAGCCATCGCTGGACGATCACCCCGACGAAAATTCTCTCACCCTCATCTTCATAATTAACCATTTGTTGCCAGGTACGTGTCAACGTCGAGTGTCCACATTGTCTCAAGATCGACAGTACTGTGCAGCGATCTGTCCGACCCAGAGATCCGACTCGCGCGGATCTCCTAAATGAGAAGGCCGCTTTGATGCGCCGCGGTGCCCCGAACCTTTCGGCAGCCTAAAAATGTCCACGGCAGGCTATCATAGCAAACTTCTGCGAACAGAGCGGGCGGAGAGGAGTCGAAGGGAAGAGGCACGGACGAGGAGGCGTAAAAAATCTGGAGAAATGGAACGAGCGTCGGGTAAACCGACGGAGATCGACGTGGAGACGACCGATCCTCGGTGAAAGATACGCGAACAGGAGAGTCGGCTGGACAAAGCTGGGCAAAGCGCGACAAAGTGAGACAAAGTGAGACAAAGTGAGACAAAGGGAGGCAGAGCGAGACAATGGGAGTCGATGGGGAACGTACGAAGAGTCAGCCCGGAAGAGCATCTCCGTGGACCGATCGGTCGATGGTCCAAAGTCGACTGTCGGGCCGCAGCGGTCGGGTGCTGGCGGCGTCGCGACGCTTGCGCCGCAGGTCTCGCGACTCCGTCAGACGGCGCCCCGACGCTGGTACCGTCGGACGGACCGGTCGGTCGGGCCACCAGTCGGTTGAGTCAGCAGCCCTCTCCCTCTCTCCTTCTCACTCTCTCTCTCCTTTTCTCTCCGTTCTCCTCTCTCCCCCACCAGGAAGTTCGGCGCGCGTGTACACGGAGGGGCCGCACACTTTCTCGGCGGGTCGGCGGTGTGTGGGTGCCCGTCGACGCACGCACACAGGGTCCGGCGGGGAATCACGGGCTCGTGGCGGGACCCGCCGCGCGTCGGTGTGGACCGACGTCGGACACGCGCACATGCACGCCCATTCTCTCCTTTCTCCGTCGCGCGCCCTCCCGACATCCTGCGAGAGAGAGTCTCTATCCGGCGAACGACACGAGAGGGAGTCCGAGTTCCTCGCGGAGTTCCTCGCGGCTGCAGTGCGTTCCCAAACAGCCACGAGAGAGCCTCGAACGTGTCCGCACGCACGCACGCACGCGACCATCAGCTCCGGCTCCGAAGGGGGCCGCCTCGTGGCCCTTCGATTCCCGAGAAAAAAAGTGACGGCCGCGCGAGAACGCCAGAGAACTCATCGCGCAGCCCTCGTCGCGAGAACGTCCGAGGACCGCGACGACGACCGTGACGACGACGACGACGACGACGACGACAACCAGCACGAGCACCGAGAAACCTCGTCGCCGCTTCTCGCGATCCCTCGATCCTCCGGGACGGAACGCTCTCTCGTGCATCCGTGTTTCCCGCGCGTGTGCCGCGAAGGATCGTGCTAGGTGGACCTCGTGACACAGGACACGTTGCTTGCGGAGGATCGGCGACGCGGAGCCCGAGCCCTAGGACGAGCCCGAGCCCGATGGCCCGAGAGTGACCCGGCGGTGGCTAGCGAACTGAGATGCGTCGATGGAAGCGGTGTCGGGGATCGCAGGCTCGACGGCGCAGCTAGCAGCGTGACCGAGACTCGACGAGCAGCTCGGAGGACCATCGGAAGATCGGCGAAAGTGGTGGTTAGGTCGCCGGCGGGGAATCGATGACCGTCGAGGATCGCTGATCAGCTGACTGGTGCTAAGTGGTGCGCGAGGACTCCGAGCGCGTTCAAGCTGGTGCGTCCTGTTGATCCCGAGGACGTGGCTCAGGGGCGTGTGTCCGCCCTGTGACTACCGTGTAAATAGCTGTACATAGCCCGAGGAGATATCCCCCTTTTCACTCCCAACAAGAGCCCATCCTACGGTCGTCCGCGTATCCGGGAATCCGGGAAGTTCGCCGGAACGGGGTATCCGAAGCCGCGGGAGACGTAGGCGTTTAAGAGACGGTCGGCGTGTATAAAGAGACGTTGTACAGATCCAGAATCCATAATTAGTCGAGTTCGCTTATCGTCGCGAGTGTCTTCTTCGTGCGCGGCGTCCGGGGGACAGCCGAGGGGGGAAGGGAACGAGCACGGCGGCGTGTACCGAGAACACAATTCGCGAAGAAGCAAGTCGGAGCAGTACGGGTATCCAGCGCTTTAGCCTTTTTAGCAGCGGCGGCGCGATAATTAAGTAGCTCCGCGGCCAAGCGTTACGAGCGTTCGCGACGTTGTGCCGCGCGTAGAAATCACACATACTCAACACACATACACACACACGTACATACTTACACGCAGGTACACGCGTATACTGAAAATCGTACACTAACGTTAGGGGCGAGGAGGGGCGAAAGTTCGGCGGAAACTTGGACAGGGGAGGGACACGCGTGCGACGCGCTTCCGTCGCGATTCCGTCGCGGGAAACGATATCCGATAAGTCTCGTCGACCGCGTCCGATCGCGACTCCTCGCGCGAGCCGGCGGTTTAATCTAAGCGGGAGGGTAGAAAAAAGGGGGACCAATTTTTCACTGCGATTCGCAATCTCTCTGTCTCTTCCTTCTCCTCCGTCTTTCTCGGCCGGCAGCGTTTCTCTCTTTCTCCGCCTTCTTCTATCTTTTATCTTCTTAATCCAGCCGGCCGGCGTGGTGCGGCCCCGCTCTCGGCTCAGCTCGGCCCGGCTCAGCTCGGCTCGGCCCGGCCCGGCTCGTCGCGGCGTGCCGGACTCACCATAAATCACGCCGTTCTTTCTGTATTAACTCCGTCACCGTGAGCCAACCGGCGAATATACGAGCAAGATCCGCGACTCACGCAAGCAATAAATCAACGGACCAGCGGGCTCGGCTGGCCGAGGAACGAGATCCCGCTGTCGGAGTCCTCAGAAATCGAGCGAGCTGGTTCGAGCACGGTATATCTCGGCCGAGGTGGTGCGAGCAAGCTAGCCGGCAGGTCGTGTAACAGGTAGACGCGCCTCTTTCCATCTACCTCCGTCGTCGATCGGAAAGGAGAATCTTGTCGATCGAGGCAAAGTCGCGAAGAAAGAGAAAGCGAAAGAGAGAGAGAGAGAGAGAGAGAGAGAGGGAGAGGAAAACGAGAAAGAGAGACAGAGCGAGAAAGTGAAAGAGAAAGAGTAAGCAAGGGAGCAAAGGAGCACTCTGTTCGGCGGAGGATGCGATCATCCTGAAACGGGCATGACGCCCCTGGCCTCGAGATGCGACGAGACCACCACCATCCTGCTGCTGTTGCTACTCGAGCTGGCGCCCGGTGCACGGTGTTACTCGCGCGCGGCCACCACGTCCGCCTCGACTTCGTCGAGATAGCATCAACAGTGGACGGCGAGGGTGCGAGTGATGCCTCAGCTCGGCAGCATTATGACCATCGACGCCGGTAGTCCGACAACGGCAGCAGCGTCCAGCAACGAGCTCGAGGAGAACATGACGTGGTCTCGACCGGCCGGCGGCTCGACGTCTTCCTTGAACGAGGCCCACACCGTCGGTGGCGAGACCCACGGCAAGCATCATCGGCAAGACGACGACGACGACCGGCACCTGCTGACGACCAGCCGGCTGCTCCGTTTAGCTACCGCGAGCATCGGCGAGCCCGGGACCACGATTCCCGGCGGCGACCAAGGACCAAGCGAATCCGCCACCACCGGCAAAGGGAACAACACCGAGGAAACCGTCTCGCTGGGCCAGGACACCGCCGATAGGATCGGCTGTGCCTGCACCAGGCTCGGCTTCGGGAGAAGGACCGGCGACGCCGATCCGGACGACTCGTCCTCTTCGTCTTCATCCTCCTCCTCCTCCTCTTCCTCTTCTTCCGGGCTGCCGCCGTTCCTGGGCGAGCCGGTTTCGAACGAGACCACCGACCAGCTGGACACGGACGGCAGCGGTGAGGGGAGCACCATCGGCCTGGACGCCGCCACCGGTGCGATCGGTGTCAGTAGCACCACCGACAAGGAAGACGCGCAAGGACTCCGCGAGCTCGAACTGCTGTTCGGCCTGGGCGGCATCATGGAGGACTTCGGGGGCCCGTTCAACTACTCGTTCAACCAGAGCCTGCCGTTCCCGTGGAACAACAGCCACTACAACGAGACCTACATCGTGTTCGGCGAGAGCATGTACCCATCCGGCTACACCCTGCCGCACATCGTTCTGGCGTCCGTCCTCGCCACGCTGCTCATGATCGTGATCGTCGTAGGCAATATGTTGGTGATCATCGCGATCGCCACCGAGAAGGCGCTCAAAAACATTCAGAACTGGTTCATCGCCAGCCTGGCGGTCGCTGACTTCTTTCTCGGGCTGGTGATCATGCCGTTCTCCCTCGCCAACGAGATCATGGGCTACTGGATCTTCGGGTACTGGTGGTGCGACATTTACTCCGCCATGGACGTGTTACTGTGCACCGCGAGCATCATGAACCTATGCCTGATCAGCCTCGACAGGTTCTGGAGCATCACCCAGGCGGTCGATTACCTGAAGAAGAGGACGCCCGCCAGAGCGGCACTCATGATAGCCCTGGTCTGGCTGCTGTCCGCCCTCGTCTGCATACCCCCGTTGCTCGGATGGAAGAGACCGACCCCCGAAGAAGAGTATCCCAAGTGCAAGGTGAGTTATTTTATTGCGGCCGCGAGTCTTCGCCGCGGCGGCGACGGCGGCGAGTCCGCTCACCGGATCGATCGAGAGACCGCAATTTCGCTATCGAAGGCGTAGATCGGGTTCGGATAGGGAAAATATCGTGGCCGACGATACCGTGTGCGACCGCTGCACCCGGCCGGCTCTACACGCGAAGACACGTGCGCCCGACGCCCGACGCCCGACGCCCGGCGCGCGATTAATGTTTAAAACACAATTTTCCTGGCTGACCTGCCGCCGGTTAATTATTTCTTGGGAAAGCCGGATGACGCGCGTGATGGTGACAGCTCACTCGCGTTTTATGGGAATTTTTACTAAAAATAGCCCGGCCGCCTTATCGCGACTGCAACGGAGAATGTAGGCTGTCCGCTTTTCGCTTTTCCACGGAGACGATTATCCCGTCGAATTATTCGGAACTTTGGAACTGGGATCGAGTCGTTCTAGAGAAATATCGGTAACATAAGGTTTCTTTTATTATTCTGTTTTGTTCAGTCTTGAGTAGAATAATTTATCCTTGGACGACGGATCATTTTCAGAACTATACTAGTTGGCGATATTCGCGACGATTCTCAGCTTTATTCGTCGATTTTTTGAAACTTATTTTTGAAGATACAGTAATGTCTCTCTAATTGACGCCCAGATTGACCACAAAAATGGACAATTTAGGAGGAGGAGATACGATTATTCGAGCCTTGCGGTTTATTTTTATAGTTATAAATTGTCTACAATCATAAAAACGAGCCGCAAGGCTCGAATAATCGTAAATAATAATCTCTTCCCAAATTATCCATTATAGTGGACAATCTGAGCGTCAGTAAGGGAGACATTACTGTACGTTGTATCTAGTCCAGAAGCATCGTCGCGGATCTATGTTTCCTGTATAAAGTTATGCATGGTATGACAAACGATTCTAGCGCTACTTTGCTTGTAAATTTCGATGCTACACTCCGCTTTGNCCCGGCCGGCTCTACACGCGAAGACACGTGCGCCCGACGCCCGACGCCCGACGCCCGGCGCGCGATTAATGTTTAAAACACAATTTTCCTGGCTGACCTGCCGCCGGTTAATTATTTCTTGGGAAAGCCGGATGACGCGCGTGATGGTGACAGCTCACTCGCGTTTTATGGGAATTTTTACTAAAAATAGCCCGGCCGCCTTATCGCGACTGCAACGGAGAATGTAGGCTGTCCGCTTTTCGCTTTTCCACGGAGACGATTATCCCGTCGAATTATTCGGAACTTTGGAACTGGGATCGAGTCGTTCTAGAGAAATATCGGTAACATAAGGTTTCTTTTATTATTCTGTTTTGTTCAGTCTTGAGTAGAATAATTTATCCTTGGACGACGGATCATTTTCAGAACTATACTAGTTGGCGATATTCGCGACGATTCTCAGCTTTATTCGTCGATTTTTTGAAACTTATTTTTGAAGATACAGTAATGTCTCTCTAATTGACGCCCAGATTGACCACAAAAATGGACAATTTAGGAGGAGGAGATACGATTATTCGAGCCTTGCGGTTTATTTTTATAGTTATAAATTGTCTACAATCATAAAAACGAGCCGCAAGGCTCGAATAATCGTAAATAATAATCTCTTCCCAAATTATCCATTATAGTGGACAATCTGAGCGTCAGTAAGGGAGACATTACTGTACTTCATGCGGATTTATTACTAAATCACGGATATTTAGGTTATATGAAAATTGTCCAAGTTAATCGTGAGAGATATGAGTTAGATGAAAATACCTTTCCTCTTTTAGCAATTGTAATTAGTTGAAGATAATGCAACGATATCTTGAAATTCTTCTGTCTTTTTAGTTTTGCATTTGACTTAGTCATTTTTCTCGTAAATGCATAAAATCCGCGGTCTACTTATATTAGTCTTTCTGTGATTTCTAGTAACAGCCGTTTATTTAATCAAATCGCCGAAAAATTGCTAATCAGACGATAATTTAAATACCCTGTGTCAAAATAACACAGTGATCGCAAGCTAAGAATTAATATGCCTTATTCGATATATATAAAGTTAATTCTACCAGAAAACAAACCAGCAATTAGTCACCCTACGGTAACCGGATCCACCACCCTACACGAGACACGATTTAGAAACACTCCTCTTTTGTTCCGAAACGATGATCAATATTATCCCGACCATCGGCGACAGTATTTATTCAATTCGTCGATCAAAGATCACGGATCATTACATATTTATAGTATTCGCGCATTTCCATTCCGCTTCTACAATAAAACATTTTCCGAACTTCTGCCGCCTCCCGGTTACTAGAAAACAGTCAACGATCAGTTCTACTTGCATAAAGATCCACAGATCCGCTCTGAAGCAAGACTCGATTGTATTAAAACGTCGAACGGGAATGACCAAAGGCCTGCTCGGATCTTCGGCAGCTATTTCCGAAGTACGCGTTCGAATGCCGGCTCTTATAGCAGCGGCGGGATCAATGGAGGCCTGAATTGGTTCGAGAAGGTTGAATCTATCGATTGATTGCCGGGAACGATTGTCAGGGTCGTTGATAGAGCCGAATCTAAATTCATCGAACGCGGAGTCTCGGGTTTCTTCGTCTCGGTCACGAAAGGTTATAGGATAGGGTTGCAGGAAAGGCACTTGGCCGTGATAGCAGGAGCCTTAGATCCATTCTGTGTAATTCCTCCGGCGAGTGCGCGTATTATCTAGGACGATCCGGGAGTTTGAAGCATTCGATTAACCGGCTGACGTTGATTCTATTTTCTAATCGATAAAAGCCACTCGGTTTTCTATGTCGGCGTCGTCGTTGCGCTTCGGCTACGGGGCGTTCCTAATGTTGCAGGATTATACCGGATGATCCTGCGAATGCGGCCGTGCTATAGATTCCAGAAAAAGAAAGAAAACGTGGGAATCGAGATGGATGCCCTATCGGGTCACCGATAGCGGTGGATATCGACACCGTTGCGGGACGGTGTTGGATTCTGTTCGTTCGTTGACGAAACGACGGCGCATTTCTCTTCTCGCGATCACTATGACCGCCTCGTATCCTACGAAGCATTCTGCGCGAATTATTCGCGCTCGATCCGAGGATCTGGCTCTTCATTTCTGAATTTTTTCGGACATCGAATACGGCCGATAGTCGCGACTATGAAAATAAGAATATAGACAATAAGAATATAGATAATTTTTCAATTGATCAAATAAAATCTCTGCCTGGAGATCGTCAAGCTAGGTGACACATACACCCAGCAATCTGTTAAAATGTTCCAAGAGTTATCGATGAAATTAATAATATGAGCGAACGATTTAATCTGCTCTAAAAGCATAAGAATTCCCAATCTAATTCCAACATTCATCTTCAGTGATTCTTGAAATGGAACCAACTGCTGCACAAAATCACAGATAGCAATTACAATGATATTTTTATTTAACCCTCGGACGGAGAACTATATTCACAACTATATAATTATATATCATATATATAATTAATAATATTTAATATATATAATTATATATTGTGTATATAATTAATAATATCTAATATATATATATAATTATATATTATAATCTTCATCAATTTTTCAAAATATATATTTTGAAGACACTTAACATAAACTCAGCGGCTTTTCTGTTGTTTCCAGTGTAACAGCAACTTATTTAACTGAATAGCCGCAAGGTGAATAATTATTTGACGATTCGAGCTCGGACAACGTGACCCGGTAACCGCAGTCCGAGAATTGACTCGGACTACTGTAAACTATTACCCGAAAAACTGTTGACGATGCCCTAGCTCGAGGAGACAATCGTTGAAAATATCAAGAAATCGAGTTGCTAAAACCAGTTTTCGGAACCCCGAATCCGAGATTCGGCCACTTTTGAGTCCTGCGGTATAAGCAATTTCAAGTCAGAGTATTTTCACAGTATATCCTGTGGTAGACACGCGAGGAGGGTAGGGAACAGGATGCGGCGTCAGGGGAGAGAGAGAGAGGGAGAGAGAGCAGGAGAGACCGGACGGTTGCCTTTTATGCAGCGTTGAAACCCACCCTTATCCTGAACCCCTCGGAACCAGCTTACGTTGCCCACTACAAAACGCCGTCCAAGATTGGATTTCTATGCCCGACAGTTCGATGCACGTAGCTGACTCGCGCAACTTCACGGTGTTTCCGTTTTTCTTCCATTCCCACGTTTCTCCTTTTCCCGACACATTTTCGGGACTTTCTTCCACGTCCCGGCGATCTCTGGCTTGAAAACGAACCGGCAACCCGGCCCAGAAGCGATTCAACCGGGAAGAAACCGAGGTTCGTCCGCCGCGAGGTTTATGGTCGCTATCGATCTCGTTGTTTGCTCCTAATTGGAGGGCTACTGCCGTCGCGCTCTTCGGACGCGCTCCTCTGTTTAATTAACCCCCGCGCGTCACTGGAACCGGCGAACTTTTGCGATAGCTTTTTCGGAGACCCCGATCGTTGGTTGCACCTCTGAACGCTAGAAGAGGCCTGCTGGGGAAATTCTGCCCTGCGAGAGCCAGGGTTTCTTCAGCAAGTATTACGGTAATCACCACAAAATTCAAGACGATGGATTTGTATCCCAGTTTTATGCATATATCGATCAACCGATTCGCTTCGTTTTTGTTCAATTTTGAGATCTATCTATCTGAATCTTTAGCCGCGGACGCGGAGTCCGTCAGAATCTACTGTAAACATTATTACAGTAATGTCTCCTTAACTGACGCTCGGATTGTCCACATAAATGGACAATTTGGGAAGAGGAGACACGTTTATTCGAGCCTCGCGGTCTATTTTTACAGTTACCGATTGTCAACAACTATAAAAGCGGGCCGCAAGGCTCAAATAATCACATCTCTTCTTCCCAAATTGTCCATTTTTCTGTACAATTCCACAATTAGGGAGAATTTACTGTAATTAGCGTTCCTAAATTCTTAATAATGTCCTGTCGTTTTAAATTTCGCTTACACAATTTTCTTAAATATCCAT